TAACGCGTTGCTCTGAGGCTGGGTTGGGGGGCCCCGCGTAAGTGGCAGGCGGCCGAGAGCAGGAGTGTCAGTCTCAGTCCTCGGCGTTCTCCTCCGCCTCCGGCTCCGCGCGAGCAGCTGCAGGAGCCCTCGGCCCGCGCGGCGCGGCTTCAAGCGCGGCGCAGCGGCAGCAACTGCTGCAATCGCTGCTGCAAGTTTGGCAATGTGGCTTCACTTTGTATATTCCCCCGCCCGGCGGCCCCCGCCCCCGCCCGCGCGCCTCCCGCTCCTCCTCCTCCACCGCCTTCCTCCCTCCCGCGCGCTCGCTCGTTCGCTCGGGGCTGGCGGCGGCGGCGGCGGCGGGGGCCAGTCCCGGTCCGTCTGGTTGCCAATAGGTGGGGCCACGAGCATCTCCGAGCCGGCTCGGCGTCCTTCTTGGAGTCAGGCCGCCCGGCCGTAGCCCAAACGCTTTTGCTCCCGGCCTTACGCGGCAACTCAGAGTTGACCGCGAGACAAGGCGAGGCAGGTGTCTGCAAGGCAGCCCAGGAGGGCGGCCCGCGCGCCCTGCGCTTCTCGTGCGCCCGGGGGCCAGTCTCGCCGCCGCGCCAGGCCGGGGGGGGTGTGCGAAGCAGCGAGGCGCGCCGCTCCCCATCCTCGGCTACACCGCCGCCAGCCCCTCCCGCCACCGTCGCGGCGACTCTGCGCGAGTACCGCAAAGCCAAGAGGACGGGAAGAGGAAAAGGAGGCTGGGGGCGCAGCCAGCACCCCGTCACCATCGCACAACGCTGCGGCTAACGCAGCCCGCTCACGTTGCAAAACCACCTGTTCGATCCGAAGGGTGCTCCCCCCCACCTCTCACCCCAGTTTTCGCCTCACAGGTGACACACACCTCTTCTTTCCCCTAAAGATATTTTTTTTAATGGATCAAATGTACATCCGGGAGAGAATATGGAAGGTAGAGTCGATTAAACTTCCTTTCCCGACACAGTCAGAACCCACCCCCCGCACTTCCCGGCACACACGCACAACTGAGGTAAACTCGAGACCCCCACGCATCCATCACACACTCCACGATTCACCGCGAAACAACAGCCCAAGTCAAGGTTCGAGCATCCACATCCTGTCAGAAAACTGAACAAGTGTGAGGGAAGGTTAGCGGGAAGGAGCAATAAACCGAAGCCAGCGCCAATAAGCCACACAGAGGGCGGAGAGGGGGAAGCAAAGGGAAACATTTGCTAACCCAAACGTTAAAAGTACCCACAGGCAACACCTGCCCTTTCTTACCGATGTGAATGATTGAATCCGCATTCGCCAAGTCCCAGGTTCGAGACCACCACACGGACAAAACCAAGAGCAAGGGGAAAACTTCCATCTCCTCCTATGCTGAATCTCTTTCAGGATGGTTTCTCTTTCAATATTTTTTTTTAACCAGTCCGAAGAGTTCGAGGTCACGATAGAGTTTAGCGCAGCTTTTTCTTTTTTTCTAAATTCCTACTGCCAGAGCAAAGCCTTTAATCGTCGCTGATGAAGGCAGAGCGAATTAAGAGAGCCCAGCCTGAGGAAACCTCCTTCGCAAAGCCGTGTCACTTGGAGGGGAATTTTGGCGTCGCCAGAGTTGTTTGCAGTTTGGCTTTTAAAAAAATGTATCCAGCCTCGGCTGCTCTCGGGCAGGGGGAGAGGCTGGAGCTCAGACCATCCCCATCGCTGAGCCGGGGCCGCGGGTCTCCAGTCCCAGCTCCGCCGCAACTTCCAACCAGACCACCCCCCTACACTCTACGCCGGATGTTCCCCTCCCCCTCCCCC